AGCCACCAAGAAAGAGAAAGAGAGCGATGAAGGTAAAAGACTACATTAGAAATCATTGATGATAATTTTAAGGATACATTTATTCATTTATCATCCTCACATAATATCCACCAATTGACACCATATCCATCAATTATGTCTTTAATGTACATCAGACCACAAGAAAGAGAGTGATAAAGGTAAAAGACTACATCAGAAAGCCACTTCACAACGAGAAATGTTGATCACTCAATTAACCATTCATTATAATGAAAGAGGATACAACATTTTGCAGCCATACATGATAGTGTCGACTTTGTTATGAGCAGAATGCAACATGCTGGATAGGTTTCCGCCATACATTTTTTTGTCAGGATTAAAGATACCTCAAGTCTTTTACTTCATCAATATGGGGTGTTTGAAGTAGTAAGACCTGCAATGTTGCATGCTAATAAATGTMCCTTTGTTTTCAAAGGTGATTCTAAAGGAGTTTATTAACTGTAGGAATATCTTTATATTTTCGCAGAAATTGTAAGCAAGCTTAAAAAGTTTAAAGGTAAGTGMTCTGTACCAATTATTTAGAGTGGAAAATGGTGACTGCACGACAGGTAKATCTATCTGCATTAAATGTCTCTCGTAACTGTATATTTCCAATTATCTTGTTCAGATAACACTGTAGGTGGTGGATCAGGAAGTGGAGGACCTACAGATGTACCACCTTCAGTCGAATATGGTAAATAATGCTAAGTAGCGGTACAATTAAAGTTATGATGACCTTTATTAGCAGCAACGCATCACCAACAGTTTCATTGAACCGTAATCATTCATAACCATATCATCATAATCAYCATGTCATCATCTTGTCATACACACCTTTTCTTAGGTGCTCCAAAACCAGCTCCAACAACAGTTCCAACAAAAGGTACATTGTCATTATCATCAYCATATGCATCGTAGTGTAGTTGTCATAATCATCACCATTGCCATTAAACGTAATACATCAGGAATGAGCACTCGGATGCATTCCTGCTCCAGCACAATGGATGGGATGATTTTCTTAATATTCCTGGTGCACATGCAAAATATACGCTCTTATTCACAATATAATCACCAATTTCACTATAAAATCACCTAAAACGTCATCATCGCTATATTGCTAGCATCATCATCATACCATTGTACATCACAATCATTCTATCATGAGACGTAAACCAGTCCATTCATGGTTCACTTGACTTCAGCATGCCATCATTTTCCTCATATTCACATCTTTATTCAGCTTTTGTCAAATGTCCACCACCATGTGTTAAACCTCCACCTCCAGGTATTTCATTCTTCATCATGACCATAAACATTCTTACTTTCACCAAACACAATCAATTCATCAGCATCATTGTACAAGTCACTGCCATACACCATCATCACAATATTCCTAGAATCATTATCAGTATATCATTGCACAATGTCATCACCATCATTCTATCATGAATTCAAAACCAGTCAATTCATAATTCACTTGA